CAGCTGAAGGTCGTGATTTCTGTCCCTGGTGTAGTTGCAGGTACTCACTGCTGAAGCGAAACAACTATCAAGTACTCTCAGGTATACACTGGTATTGCAACTCATTTCATTCCACCAGTTTCGAGAATGCTTCAAAAATGCTAAACAACAGCTTTATGTACGATAATCTTACATCATGAAATTGACCCCCGTAATAATGAGATAGTTTAGAAAGTGTTCACAGATTACAAGGAATCGAAAATTATGAATAAATTTATGGTTTAGTGTTATTGCTAGTATTACACCGTCGTTGATTGTACCGAGTTGATCAGTGTCTCTTGGCATATGGGCTTCTATGTGGATGCCTCGATATTGACTGTCTTTTTAACTGTGTATAGAAATGATGGGTAGTGGAATGCAGGATGCTCATTTCCTCCTATTTGGGATTCACTGTTCAGTTGGATGTACCTGCCTCTCAGTGAGTGATGTTGTTCCCATCGGGACTCGGACTGCTGTGTCTTGTTGGTGTGGTGTGGTGGGTTCCGCTCTGGCATTTGAAGCGGTCGCTCTCGATTCCGGGTCCCGGTGGGAACAACATCACTCACTGAGAGGCGGGTACATCCAGCTGACTAGTGAGTCCTAAATAGGACGAAATCTATGGTTGTTTAGAACACTGTTACACTGATAAACTGTTATATATACACAGCTTCTAAAGGTTGAACTCTCATTGGTTGTTAACTTCTCTAACCTGTCAGTGAATTTATTGTCGTCAAGGTCGTTTACAACTGTCTATATATATTCAGCATCACTCTCAACTGTTTTCGACTGTTGACATGAGAGTAGAAGCTATGTGTCAATCGTCCATTCTTCCTTATTGTCTCCTCCAAATCCCGTTGGTATTGTTATCCTTCTAGTTGATATTCTGATTAGGGTATACACTAGAGTTTTTTTGCATGTTAGGTTCGTATCTCCTGTAGACTGATAAGTTCCACTTAACGATCATAGCATAAAGCCTTGAAAATGATGAAATATATCAAAGATATTATTCAGTTGAAATTCTTCAGAAGTTTATTTTGAAGTAAACTTTGCAGAAGAAGGAACAGCGAAGTTTAAGTGTTTATTTAGATGGATTGCTGTGGAGGTTGTCATCGATGGACAGTATCCTATGGATTAGAGAGACAGGTGTCTGGAGACGATATTTCTTATAAATTGCATACTTAGACACCAGGTAGTAACAACGACAAATGAATAGAGTTAAACTTGTAGATGTGAAAGGCTGTAAATAATGAAACAAGCTTCGCTTTAATATGATAGTTCAATTGGAAGCCAGCAGTGGAATCCAGGATGCCTGTTACGTCCGAGTTGGGACTCACTAGTCAGCTGGATGTACCTGCACTGTCAAATCAGTGATGGTGTTCTCAATGAGGAGATATGAAGGTAGTACCGACTGGTGAAAACACCATGAGACGTTATCTTCTAAGCCAGTGAGACATTAGATTCACTTGTTGTGGTACACGGTTTCATTTGTCGTTTATTGACACTTAAAATTCCCTGTTGTTAAGTAAGGTGTAATTACTCGACTTCTAATGGGACATAGACTTCTATAGGGAATCCATTGGTAGTATCCAAATCTTCATTATGTTGTTAAGCAATTCTACGAAGTCTGAGGATAGGAGATAAGAAGTATTACTAAGTGAGAACTTGTCTTCAAGTTGGACAATCATAAAGAGGAGATGAGTTTTGTGTGTGTATTGACTTTGATACAGAGAAATACGATGATAAGATGTCACTAGAAATGAATTGATGTGTAGACGGGTAAGTATTTCTGAAGTCAACACTAATTAGAATAGGATGAAAAAAGAGTTTGAGTTGAATAAGGATAGGCATCTTTTGAGTACCTTTATCATCTTCATTTATTTTCATCTAAATCACGCCTGTGATAGAAGTTAGTGGTTGTCGCATGACCTCAAATTCGATAGACTAAACTGCGTAATTCACCTGCTGATAGAAAATCCATTTTGTTCACCAACATTATGACCATCATGAGAATAATCGTCCAAAGAAGTCTTCCTTCTAATTTTCATGGAAATTATTCATTCACATTGCAGCTGCCATCTGCCATCTAATTTTCGTTGTTTAATTAAATTGAATACTAGACCAGTCGAATAGAACAGATTGTTGATAACTTAGGGCTCCTGATGGAATATACGACTACAGGAACACGTTGCTGTCTTCTCTTCAGTCTTTTGAACCTGGCTCCATGACTGCCCATAAGCTTTCATTTCTTCTACACATCATCTCCGCCATGTCATCCTTACATATCGTATAATAATTTGTTTTACTGTAAAATAGAGTGAAAACCTCATGAGGAATTATAAAATAGAAATTAATTTTTTTTCCTTTGCTTTACCTTCCTCCCTATGTTGTCTCCCACTTTTCAGGTTATGCTGTCAATATTGCTACACTTGCAGATGTGAAAGAGAATGTTTTGGTAAGATTTCCATCATGATTTTTCATTTTAGACTGTTACCTGTCTATCCATCTGCCTGTCTGCCAACCTATACGTCTGTATCCGTCTATCTGTGCGTGTATCTGTCGATTTATGTACTTGTCTGCCTGTCTGTCTATCTACCTATCTATTCTGTCAAGAAGTCTCAGATATAGACCACCTATTGACTGTTTAGTGTAAAGATGCCTCAAAATCAGACTATCTCACTGTATTGAACTCATTATTGAAAAAATCAGGATTAGGTGTACCCAGACCAATCCTACAAGAAGTTAGCTGAGGCCATAATGGCTAAACAGAGACATCTTTGGCTGTAAAATTATGTCCCGGGATTGCGAATTTCAGGCTGGAAACATGCCTTGCTGACGAATATCAGAAAGTACGAGACTTAAGTGAAGCAAGGCTTACTGTTGATCACAATTAACCAACTAAAGTCTGCATCAAGTATCTCTCTGAGACAGATAATCTCAATTCATGAAGCCATGACTACAATCCAAGAAAGCATGAAGTCTTAAGAATCCCTCATTGAATCTTCAACAGGATTTTTTGATAGGATCAGTTAAATTACCATGTGAAATAATAACAAATAGGCATATGATATCAATGCAATCAGATAGTTGGACTGAATAGGAATAGCAACTGCACTCCCTCACTACCTACTTCATCCTTCACTCAACTACGTAAATATATACAGACAAAAACTGACCTATCACTGTAAAAAGGAGATATTTTATTCAACAAAAATATACCATTTAAATATAACAGTTTTTTTATCAACATTTGAAGCCACAAGGTCATAAAGTGAATAACTTGTTCTGATTGGTCATCTGTGAGATGAAATTGTCCAATCACGTTTTTCTATCCATTAAAAATCTTCACATACAAACAGACACAACGATAACTTATAGGTGCGTAAACTAAAATATCACACAAATATACACAATAATGGGAAAAAAGAGACTAAGGGAATTACATATTTCCTGCTTATTGGCAATGAATTATTTCTTAGAATATACTGAACTCATTGGTTTTTATGCAAAAATTTCAGTGGTAAAATATATATCAGCATGCGAAAGGAAACTTTTATACGATCACTGATTTCTGAGGGAATCTGAATACTGACAGCGCATATTATTATTATTATTATTTGTCCCTTGGGTTCGTCTTGGAACATAGTGCTTCAGTAGCACATCTCCATTCCAATCTCTTCTCTCAAATCTTTTCAACCTGCCTCCATGACACCCCACAACCTCTCATTTCCTCCTCGCACCATCTCCTCCATGTCACCCTCACCTCAGACGCCCAACTCGTCGCTTCCCATCTGCCTTCCACTCGAGTGACTGGCCTGAAGCGTGATGTCCCCAGTCGACCTTCTCAGTGTATGCCCAATCCAATCCATCTCCACCTACTTCCACTGCATATTTGTTCAGTGATAGCTTCTTGCCTCATCGGTTCGTTGCCAGCCAGCCAGCCAGCCAGCCAGCCAGCCAGCCAGCCAGCCAGCCAGCCAGCCAGCCAGCCAGCCAGCCAGCCAGCCAGCCAGCCAGCCAGCCAGCCAGCCAGCCAGCCAGCCAGCCAGCCAGCCAGCCAGCCAGCCAGCCAGCCAGCGCCAGCCAGCCAGAGTTCCTTCTTACTTATTCTTATTATTCTGGCAATCCATCTGAGCTGATCTTCAGTAACGAGCCAGTGTAGGCAGCAGCTGTTGATGAATGTTTGTAGTTTGTTAGGAATGCCTTTCGCAACGCACCAAGTCTCTGAGCCATGCACAAGCACTGACTTCAGTGGATTGGTGTTGAAATCTGGATTTTGTTCCACATGCTGAGTGGAGTGCAGTAGATATCCACACTGGTTTCAAGTTAATGAACGCCAGTCTCGCTTTTCCAATCCTGACTTTGACGTCCTCGTCTGTGCCGCCTGTAGCTGAGACAGTGCTGCGTAGATAGGTGTAGGTGAAGGAGGCTACTTCCTTTAAGTTTCTCCCGTTGATAGTGATTGTTTTTACCAGACCGAAATTCGAAAAAGATATGGATGATATTAAATTTACAGAAAAGGAGATGAGACAGAAAAATAAACCATCACTACGATATATTTTAGTCAATATTACCGACATCAGAGTATTAAAAACGCAAGGATACATATGGACTTCATTCAGAAGTGAAAAATCAAACTAGAGTACATTCACTTAGTGGAGAAATGAAAAAAATTACTTCACCACTCTGGGAGGAGAAGGGACTCAATCAGGTTCCCCCCCCCCTCCCCCGCCTACACACACACACTTAATTGGTAACGATGAAGTCATTCACTTAAGTCAACAAATCAAATATCATACAGTACATAAAGAGCATATTGGAGATCAATATATGACTCCGTTTAGAATTGGTAGGAATAGATACCTTTATCTAAGAAATTTTTAGATACATTCCACAGTTCCAACTACAATACATATCAACATAAATTGATGATTCCGATTATGAAATCGAAAACAAGAATGAAAGGAAATTCATTAGACGTTTTATCCTTGGATATTTAATCGGTTCCAACAATTCAACCCATCCAAACAACGAATTTAAGGTAATTTACGCAATTCCTTGGAATAGTTCAGGTTATATCTTCTTCTCCAACTTCTGAAAGTACCAGAGGCTATGGCTAATCATAAAATGAAGCTTGTAACCTTTATGTGGACAAAAGAAGTATGTACAGTATTTGTCTCTATCTTGTCGTTAAGTTCGAATGAGTGTAACATTGTTTCATGGTAGCATCTCCGATTGCAGCACAAGCTGTGCTGGTTTGATTCTCAGACAGGATATCAGTTCTGTAGAGGTTTCAAATACATCCTCCTAATGAATGCGGGAAAGCATGAAACATAGGTGTATGGCATCTTGCTGATTGCCTCCATCAAAGTGCACCGTGATCTGCATCCTCCTAGTTTAGTGGCAATATTGTAAATATGACCTATAGGATTTGGTCTACACTCAGGACCAGACAACATGAAATTAGTTATTTCAATCTGATATTATTTCAGCCTAATCCCATACAGATTCGAATGTACAGCTTGAAACGAAAACTGATTGAAAAGAGACAAGATAGGTTAAGAATAATGGGAGGGGAGAATTATGTTTACCTTTAAATAATGAAAAGGAATAAAAAAAACTGTAAACACGTTTACTCGAAAGCTGAATGACCTTTGTAATTGCTGACTGGCAGCCCCTTCCCCCCCCCCATGTTTCACATATCTACTCAAGTGAACACCTTCAAAAGAAACAAATCTTTGTTTGTTCGATATCCATCAAACATGAAGCCATAAATTTCAGCAAATAAACGAAGGAGTATGTTAGCATACACTATGGTTAACAATTGGTAGGTTAATTCATTCACTTTTATAGTTTCCTCTTCCTATAATCATATGATCTCTAACTTTTTCATTTTAGAAATATCTGGATGTAATCGCTCGATCTAATGCTTTACAAGATGATGCTTATTTTGCGTGGACTGGAGTGACTGTGCTTCAGTTCGACTTAAAGGTAACCTACTAAATTGTTGACTAATAATTTACACTACTGACAACTAAAACAGTAGTATACTTACAAAACGAAAAAATATGGACATGGAATGCTAAAAATTCTATTTATCCAAAGAGTCCTACCTAACACTATGGGAGTTATTCTAATAAGCGGTCAAGAAATAAACTGATTAACAATATTAGTTGATATGGAGAACAGAGTGATCTAAACATCGAACTTCCATTCACCTCATCTGGTATCCAGCTCATCAGCGGTATGTCAGTTCAGACAGTACAGTTATTTAAAAAGCGGTTAAAAGCGGTATTTATGAAAAGCGTAGACATTAAACCATGCAAAATGCTTGTTGGACTATGGGAAGAGTTGATTATTGTAATAGCAAGCAGCGCACATATAGTTTAGCCATCGTTTAACTGGTATCCTATGAATAAAACTAGAAGTAAGGTGGAATAGTCCATGGTGCACGGGGCAATGATACACATTCTATACAATTTCATCATTTTTTTAGGGTTGACTATACCGACTGGATGATAATGCTGACAACAAGTTCTTTAATAGACCAATTTGGTTCATCATATCCTCTATATTACATTGCAACGACCAGTTAGAATATCCTTAATATAGAGTAGGCTTGTAGCCCACAGATCTGGCTAGTTGACTTCCGACCACCTCTCATCTATTGAGGTTTGGACAGGTAGATAGTACACATGGTCCATTCACAATGAATACGGCTAACTACCTACAATACAAGTGTTCACATTCATGTTTAATATGTTTTAGCTTCAGGCAACATTGAACCAGGTGACTGCTTGCAAAACCTATCGACTGGTAGGTACAACATCCAACCCCATTTATCAGCTGGTAGTCGATCTCCACAACTTAGTCAACCAGTTTGCTTACCTAATTTGAAGGAATATTCCATTCGAAAATCAGATATTATATAGATCTAGTGTTAATGAAATCTACTGTTTTACGTGAACAGTATCCAGCTGGTTGGTTAATATTCTTATACTTAAACCAATTGAGTAGTATATTTTAGCTGACATAAAAATAATATGATCATTGGTTACAGAGAGAATTTTTTTCATTCAGAAAACTTGTTTCTTTTCTGATCAGATAAGTTCCCCATAAATGAAGTTGGTGCCAATAATTTCAATGTTTTGTTTGTTATCTTGTAGAGGTTGAAACGTGAGAATTTTTCAAATCCTTATATTATGGTAAGTGGAGAAATAATTACTTGACTGATCTGATTGTATTTTATTTTGACATGAAGCGATGGAATATTTAATTGCTGACCCCAAAGCTTATTTTCTTTTCACTCATTGAGAGTTTCACCCAGTTACCATGATGAATGAGTGATTAGTTAGATAGCTATTCGTTATTCTTACCTCTCTAGCTGCCCATCAGCATCTTCTCGCCTTGAAACAAGCTGAGCTAGATACATAAACTTGTTGATAGCTTGTACATGAAGCTATAGGAGATAGCCTTGATTGGACAGAATTACTCCTGATGTAAGGTGAAGATTGAGTTCAGAATGAAACGTATTTCCCAGTAAGATTTCAACTAATGAAGGTGATTTAATACGCTTGATGTTCCACCGATTATTGAGCCGCTATAAGAACTAAACACTGAGGAGTTTTTAGTCTTCCTGCTTCAGATTCTTCCACCATCATAGCCACTTTCAGATATCATCGCGAAAGCTATCTCATATAGTCTAACGAGAAACACTCTAATGACTAACAGTTGTTAATGGTTGAAACCTAACCTGTTGAGTAGTTTGTTGAAATCTGCCATGCAGAAAAGCCTGTATTACATTTCAGTCATGGTAATCCACCAACATATTGTGCTCAACAAAGGACAAGTTGAGAGAGAAGGACATGGTTAAAATGTCATTCAATGACTCAGAAATTACACATAATATGTCATATGAGAGGTGGAAAACAGTAGATAAGGTAATATACGAATGCAGATGAGTGCGGTGTACCGCAAGCTGAAAACAACAGTGACTAAATTGGTAGTAAGAGAGAGTGGAGAGAGAAGGAACTGATATATACTACAAACTAGTTAGTGTCCTCTCCAGTGAGAGTAATAACCACAGTCAGTCTCAGAAATTCCTGAACTAATTACCATCAGATGTGTCAACTCATTACTGAGATGTGGTTGTGTTCACTTGCAAGATTATTGTGAACACGTTGTATCCTCTTAGGTACAGTTGACTTGTGGTGAAGACTAACGTGTGTCAGATGTCTATTACTTCTAAATCTTCAATTTCTCTCCAGTTGATGTAAGTGTTTAGTGGAAACTAACTTCAAGATCTTGAGCTCACTATGAGATAAGGTCTTCGGTTAAGTATATGTTAAAACGAAAGAAAAATAATGTTGTCAGCTTTAATAGTCTGACCTTCACACATGTCCCTTTGTACTATGCGTTGCTGATCAGAATGAATATAAGTAGTATGTGTCGAAACAGCGGCAGAAATCATAGGGAATTACCATTAATGGGTAAAGATTCAGCCAAGAGAAAAGCAAGAAACAATGTAGGTGTGTTAAGTGCAAATCAAGATAAAAGCAGAAGAGGAAAGGAAGCACATTATGCTCATGACCGACTGTCTTAGTGCAAGGTGTACAATATTTGATGACTACAGTAAAAGAGATCAATAATAAACATTTCTTCCTGCTTCTCTATTTTCTTATTTCCTTCACTTTGATCAGTTGTTATTTTCAGAGCTTCATCTAGTTGTAGTTGGCTTAAGGATGTGATGTCCGATCCACCCACCCTAACGATGCGTCATGCAATTCTGCCCTAATTCATCTCTCTTTATCCAAGTTAGTTACGGGAACAAAATATACCGTAAATTATAAAGATACAGAGGCTTACGTGAAGCACAGACAGTCAATTTCCAACGTCATCCCACCATTCACTACGCTTCAAAGTTTCTCGATGTCCCACTTATGGTACAGCTTTTCATCATTCAGTTGGAAAAAGTAATTGGTCTAGGGGATCTATCTGGTTTCACGACTTTGCAGTACAACAAGCTAATAATAATAATAATAATAATAATAATTTTTTCTTTTCAATTTCTAGAATATTCCACAGCGCTCATTTATGAGTGGTTTTATGCAAAATATGCTTATTGAGCCAGACCCCATCAGAATTGTAAGTAATTTATTCACATAGTTGTTAATATATATATGCTATCTGAAAGGTGTTCTTAGTTTGTCTGACAATATTTCTCTCCTCTCCTCTCCTCTCCTCTCCTCTCCTCTCCTCTCCTCTCCTCTCCTCTCCTCTGACTATAAGTAATGATAAATTGTGTGTAGAACTTTAAAATTAAGCAGAAATCCTGAAGGCCATAAAGTTGCGGAAAGCCGAGAAAGCAGCATGACCAGGTGGAATTCCTTCAGAAACACTGAAAACAGACGCAGAGACAACAGCGGATAGGTTAACAACACTACTGCAAAAGGAAGGAAGGAAAGGTACCTGCAGACTGGAAGAAGCGCTACATTGTCAAACACCCAAAGAAAGGAGACCTAAGTCCTTGCAAGGACAGGAGCGGAATCATGCTCCCGTCCACCCCAACCAAAATATAAAGCCGCATCATCCTGGAGAGACAAAAAGATGCGCTGGATTCAAAATCACGGCCGGAACGGGTTGATTGGCCTCAAGAAGAACAAATCATGTGCGGACCAAATTGTAACGCTACGCTGTGCATCACCATAGAACACAGCATCTAATGGCACTCAACTGGATATTTACCTCAACTTCATCTGCTTCGAAAAGGCCTTCGACAGCGTCGACCGAGAAGTAATTTGACAGCTGCTTCAACACTCAGGTTTTAGTGAAGACAGGAGTAAGACACGGTTGCCGCCTACTATCACCGATCATCTTCCTGATTAGTCAACTCGACTCCACTGGATCATGCAACAAACTGTGAAGAACAGCGAGGAGAGGAGCATACGCTGTTTGACCGATGGAAGACCCTAGAAGATTTGCATTTCGCCAACGATGATGATTTATGTCTTATGTCTTATGTCACACAAACTCGAATATCTATAGGAAAAATCAATAAGTTGGCAGAAGACACAGGGCAGCGAAGACGGCACTTCCTTCAGGTGAAATTATAGAAGATAGAGGGGATGAAGAAACCTAACGAACAGAAACAGTAACAACAACAACAACAACAAGAAGCATCAATCACCATCAACAGGAGAAATCTAAGTGAAGTTGTCTCTTTCACCTACCTTCCTAAGAGGCAGCATCGTCTCAAATACAGGCGACACAGGCACAGATGACGATGTCAAAGCCAGCGAGGATCAGAAAGACAACAAAACAGGCCTTCCTGAATTAATATCAAATCAGTGTGGAGATCTATTGCACTACACTACACTACACTGCACTGCACTGAACTACACTGCACTCAGCATAAAGCGTGAACAAGGTCCAGATTTTCAACTCTAAGTCAGTCAAGTAAGTCACTGCTTGCTTCTACGTGATGGATGGTTGAGAGACGTGGTGCACTTCAAAAAGCATTTCCAACTGACTGTAGATACAAGTGATCAACAGCTGCCGCCTACGCTCACTCCATACTGAAGATCAGATCTGAAGGCGAGAAGGAATAATGAAGGAGAAACTCTGACTAGCAAGGAAGCAACCAATCAAGGAGCTGTCACCCAACAACTATGCTGCAGGAAGTGAAGATGGATTGGATTGAACATAGACTGAGAAGATGGTTTAGGGACATTAGGCGTGAGGTGAGGTCGTCGAGTGGAAGCCAAACGGGAAACGCCGAGTTGGATGTGGGAGGTGATGGTGACATGGAGGAGATGGTGTGAAGAAGAAATGAAAGTTTGTGGCAGTGGTGCAGCTATGTTGAAAAGACTGGAGAGAAGAGAGTGAAGTAGTGACGTACTACTGAAGCCCTATATTCCACTAGGAACCCAAGGGATACATAATAATAATTTTAAAATTATCCAATGAGATCACTTTGAATGAAATCGATACATTGATTGATTTCAGGTTGTAGTTGTAATAAGCGTATGATTCTGCCACCCGAGTCTCGGCGATGACCTTGAACGTGATTGGTCTAGTATTCAGTCCACCCACGCTCACAATGAACAGAAACTCTGGTGTTTTTATGCTTAAATAGCCTTGACGATTTGATTTATCTGTGTGTACATTCAATCGAATTACTGGACCACAACGTACCATAATTTATGAAGATGAAACAACCAATGAATTTCAAGCATCAAAACTGATATAATAATGTACAATAATGGATACTGTGTTTTTCGAACTATTTCACGTGACACATAAATGGATGGGGAGTCAATGAAAAGCTCTTCAGCACTGGTATACATTGACATGCCCATCTGGTTTGCCTTTAGTTTTTTTCTCACTCCTCTCTTTTTTTTTTAAACTTTTGTTGAGGTAAAATGAAGTGATAAAGTTCACTTGTTCCCCTTTTTAATATTTTGTCTTTTTTTTCGGTTAAAACAATTGATAAATTTTATCTCCTACTTTTCAATAGGATACTATGATTGCTTCTAAAGAAGAACTTCCTAAAATGTATACATCAGTAGCAAAAGCTGTTTACGATAAAACAAAAAAGGCGGTAAGTTCAAAACCTTCACAACAAGTGGTTTATATGCTAATGAACTAGTGATGGAAATCAACATTTTAAGGGTCATTAACTGCTCACATAGAAGTTTTTGATTTTGATCTGAAAAATCAGAATAAGCCATTTACCTTAGTTTTAAATATTCATGAAAATTGGTGTATTTAAATGATGAACATTCTGTTGAATAAAGTTACTTTCGTTTACAGTGATTGGCCAGTTTTTGTTTGATTATATTTTTGTAGCTAAGTGAAGAATAAGGTAGGTAAGAAGGAGAAGAGTCTGTTTTCTTATCTAGTCCAAGTGTTTGATTGGGTTGATACACTTGAATGATGTTACTAACAACATTAACAAACTTTGAGGGAGTTGTGGAGATTTCGAAATATTTCAAGTTGGTATTCATCGTAGACTGACATCAACTGAAGGAACAAAGGGAACCTGGGAGCACTGGACAGCTGTTTCGTCTAACTAGTATCGGACTCCTCAGCAGTGGGCACCCTCAACCCCGTCATGGACGGAACCCGCACCCTAAGGTCCCCTGGTCAGCGCCTTGCCATTGAGCCACTGGGTCAGAACCCAATAGCTCCATATTTCCAACTTATGTTAGCTCACGCACGATATAGCACAACCACCACCCAATGTCATTGTTGCATAACTGTCCTCACGACCATCAGGCTTGACTCCACCGGTCACCACCTCTCATTTGAACTCCGGGAATACTTCTCCAAGCTAGTCACCAATGAGCACCAGCTCAATTAAATTTTCAGAGAGTTGTGGAGATTCGGAAATATTTTTGAAGTTGTTATTCATCATAGACTGACATCAGTTGAAAATATGGAGCATTGGATTCTGACCCAGTGGCTCATTGGTAATGCGCTGGCCGCGGGACATGAAGGTCGAGGGTTCGATCCCTGGCAGGGTCCTTGCTGCGCACTGCTGAGGAGTCCTATACTAGTTAGACGAAACAGTTGTCCAGTGCTCCCAGGCTTCCCTTGTTCCTCTAACTGATGTCAGTCTACGATGAATAACAACTTGAAACGTTAGTAAAACCAATAATATAAAACAGACTACTGGTATTGGATTGATATCCGGTCTAGTCTGGAGAAGGAACAGAAAAGTAAGTTTACTGTTGGCAGGTATAGTTCATTCGATCAGTATAAGAATCTGCAATTCTATCTAAGTAGTAGAAATAAGCTATATATCTTTGCACACTAAGAAGTTTACTTTCATCTAAAGTGATATTTTGTCTTCGCTTTGTTGTTAAGCCGAACAACGGTAAGTTGAAAATATTTCAAAAATATGCAAGACTACATGATACGTTCAGAGGACATCTTTTCTATAATCGGTCAGATGTTTTACAATAGAGCTGAACTGTTCTCCTTTCCCCATCCTAGAACCAACCGTGGCACCCATCACTGGGGTGAAGGTACATCCAGCTGACGAGTCCCAAATAGGACAAAACGCGCGTCCTGGATTCGTTTGTTAGCCACAACCAACCAATTTGTCATAAGTAACACTCAGGCAATATCGAGGTACCCGCATAGGAACCCATATGCCAATAGAGGTCGAATAGTTCGACCCAATAAAGCAACGGAGAATAACAAGTATGTCAATAAATAGTAATAACTACTACCCGTTGTACAAGAAGTGGCTATCGTTCCTCCGTGGCATAGTGGAAAACGCCTTGGCATTTGCAGAGATAGACATGAGGTTCCAGTCCCAGTGAGAACAACATCACCGGGGTGCAGGTACATCCAGCTGACGAGTCCCAAATAGAACGAAACGTGCATCCTGGATTCTTCTGCAAGCCACAACCAACCAATTTATCAGGCTGGCATGTGTTCAGAATACTTGAGTTGGCCTGAATCACTTTTCAATCAACTAACCTTCAAAATTATTACCAACATGGAAATGTACTCAGTTTTCAGCTAGATGACTGTCAATAAGGAATTAGATTTCAATCCTGCTTTGACCAGTAACAACATTTCTCTAAGTAAATTCTAACAAATACTGATAAACAATAGTTGTTTCTACATTCAATACTGTGCAAATATCACTATACTAGTCCATAGATGTTCCCTTCTTAAGGATGTTTATCTGATTGCACACCCAAAGGAAGTGTACCTTGAATAGAGAATTTCACCGGTAGCCGAAGAGTTTCATGAAATCATACAAACTTTCTGAAAAAAAAGGAAATTTACTGAAAGGCATGTAAAGTTGAATAATCAGTTAGAATGAAAACGGGAGAATTGATGAGTCATTTGAACAAGTTGTAACTTAACTCAAAGGACACCTTCATGAAGATTACTGATGAACAAGAGTATAAAATGTTGACAATTATTTCTTTCATTTTATTATTATAGAAACGATTGAAGGAGGGAAATCTATTAGGAGTGGCTGGAGTTGATGTGCCGATACAGTCCTTCCGAGATACCTTACGTGGATGGAAGGTGAGTGGTGTTTTACACATAAGACTTCTTCCTCGACGCTAACTAGCAGGGTGCATCTGGTTCCTCTCCTCAGCATCCTCTCAAGAAACTTATACTATCTTGGAGATTTTAACCTTATCTACATACTGTTTGTGTTAGAGATTTTATTGCTAAGCTCGCCTGACAGCATGTAAGACTTCATAAACTCCAGTTATACGCTTAGATTGGTTCCGAGATGAAGTTGTAAAGTGCTTACTAGTAGTGATTACAGTTTATTTTCAAAGGAGATGACAATGCACTATGCTGTTTTCTTCGATGCTGACAAGATGCACTTTCTGTATTCGAACCACCTCCACGCATCTCATTAAAATAGACAGAGCAATATGTTATTATCCAACTAGAGGATTGCAGTACACTGTAACGAGTAACCAGGTATACATCAGGTAGATTGATAGACTGTTAAATTCAATACTGTTCATCCTTGGTTCCATTAGAATATTCTGCGGCGCAGAATTTCGCAGTCCTCTTGAACCCATGGGTAACATTTATGAGATGTTATATAGTTATACTCTTTACAAGTAGATGAAATATTTTAGAACGATTTCTTAACTTTTCTGCTATTTCATGAATTGATTTGACATAATAGATTGGCATTCTAGTATATTAAATCCTGTATTCTTCATCGTTTGTTGTCAGCAACCTTCACGTTACATATTGTTACATCAAGACATATGTCAGTACACAATGTACACTGCTCATGACATTAATTGGTCAGTGAGAGTAACCAACTTTCTGATGTTCAGTACTGTGAGTTCACTGAATTTCGTCGAACATTATTGGTAATTCAGCCACTTGCTGGCAGTCCGATAAGTGGATGTGACTATTTAGGTGAATCGAACGTCATCCACGTCCTTGTTGTTGGTCCATGACTCAGGAGAATCGGGTTCAGCGTGAAAAAAGACATGATTTCCATCAAGGCCTCAGATACCCTTCACTAAGGATTGCCAACAAGCACGAAACCTAGATAGGTGGAGCAGAGCTTCCTGTCGATTGTCTCCAACCAACTAACATCGACTTTCTACTCAACTGCATTTGCTACGCCTAGACTTTATTGTCCGTCAAAAGTGCATAAAAACGGATTACCTCCCCGACCAGTTCTTGACTTGGCAAACTCTCCGTATCATACAACCGCAAATGGTCGGTACAACTCTTGAAGCCTTTCCACAAAGAAGTTGTTAAGCACAGTCTCAAAGATAGATTTGAATTTGTTGAGGATCGAGTGATGTTTCATCTCTTCTTACTAAAGTTCCTTTAATGGGGATAGTAGACTTTATTTGTAACGAAATTACTAAGTAAGGTAAAAATATTCCGGTCTGCATATTGAAAAAACTACATGTGAAGTATACGATGAGAACATGATTTCTTTTCAACAATGAACTCTACAGGCATCTGAATGTAGATGGATGAATATGGACAATAAATTGTATCCGAAAGGTTATCCAGTCAATGCTATTGTTCCTCCAATGTGTGATATTTCTAATAAACAGACTAAAACGAAATTACAATAAACTACAAAACCCAAGTTTTACGCTTATATTAACTCTACAGGCAATCTGATGGTGTAGCTATGGGGTCCCTTCATTTGCCCGCTCTTAACGAGTTTTTTTCTGACAAAACTAGAGAATGGTCAACTGAAAGAAACCATTAACCGGTTAGAATTATATTCGCATTACATGGATGATACCTGTACAGTTCTCAAAAGTGAGATTGATATGAATGGTGCTCTGAATAAGCTCAATAGTGTTCATCCGGCAATCGACTTCATAAGGGAAGAGGAGAAAAATGACAGTATCTCATTTCTTGATGTTCTGTTGGTAAGAAGATTAGATGGAACTCTGAAACGAAGCATGTGTAAAAAACCTACGTCGAGAGGTCAGTCAATACATGCACTTCATTAGTGCCATACCCCTCCAATACTAAAGGAACCTGATGAAATCCCTAGCATAGAGCGTCGTAGTTATTTGTTATAGAGTTCACCACCATCCGTGACCTGCTTAGTAAGAGTGGCTATCCAGCGAAGTTTTTAACTAAGCCTGTGAATGTTGAGAAGGTTAAGAAAAGATACCTAACAGTTCCTAAGAAGCAAATCTTATTCAGGCTGAAATTTAAGGGTGAGATTGTCAATGAGATTATCACACAATGCATAAAAGGACCTTGCAAAAGTATTCCCAGTTTCTAAATTATGCCCCAATCTTTTACAGCAGTGCGATTCTAGGTGCAAGATTCTGCTACTTCTATGTGCACTTGTCATTTCAACTGCTTCTGTTTAGCCAGTTACATTGTGCATACAACGAGGCACATCCATCGCCAAATTTCTGAGCACTATCCATCATGGTTGAGTAAGGGACAAAGTAGAATAATAAAAAATCTCCATATTCGTACACCTAGTTGACATGGGATATCAAGTGGATACTAGAAAAACTTTCAAAGTTATTAAACATATTCCAATTAGTTTATCACAATCATAAATTGCACACTCGTTTACTTCATATAACAACCTCACCTGGTTAACTAGTTCACTAGTTACTAGTCGGTTCTAAGCTCGAGTAAAGAGGCAAGGTTGGACTGGGCATAGGGCTAGCAACCCTACCCCGGAAAACAAATCTAACCGCCAAAAAAACTTCAAAGCACAAACAAAATATTACAGATAAAAACAATATTATTCCTCAATAGAATCGGAGAGGCGAAATGACGCCAGTTGGTGAAAGCCTTCAGGAAGCCAATTGGCCGATGTGTCTTCGCTTCTCTCCATGAAAGCAAAAGTAAACGTGGGGACATGAAATGTCCACACAATGTATGAACCTACCAAGGATGTCCAGATTGCAAACGAGATGAGGGGGTATGGCATGGAAGTGTTAGGAATTCCCGAAAGTAGATGGAATGGGAGTGGACTCTCCAAGCTGTCGACTGAAGAATCAATTATCTACTCCGATCACCCAGACGACAACCACGAGCACACTGAGGGAGTGGCTATCATGGTGTCCCCAAGAGCACTGAAGGCTCTCATGCAGTGGGAACCAGTCTCCTCCAGGATCAGGCTCATCACAGCAAGATTCAACTCAAAAGGAAAGAAAGTCATAATCCTACAATGCTATGCACCTGCAAATAATGTAGAGCAAGAGAAGAAGGGAGAATTCTACAAACAACTGCAAAAAACACTGGACAAGACACCACCTCAGTTGGCGATATCAAAATTCTAATGGGTGGGGTGACATGAATGCCAAACTGGGAATGGACAATACAGGAAGAGAACTAACCATGAGTCGAGAAGTGCTCGTTGAAATGAACGAGAATGGAGAATTGTTTGCAGAATTCTGTGCATTCAACGATTTGGTGATTGCAGGTAGTGTGTTCAATCACAAGGATATTCACAAAGCCACATGGATTTCACCAGACAACAGATGGACACACTAAAAACCAGATCGACTTTACCTCAATCTCAAGGAAGTGGAGACCGAGCCTACTTGACACAAGATCAAGAAGAGGAGCAGATGTAGGCTCATACCACTATCTAGTGCAAGGAACCTTCAAAATCAAGTTGAAAGCCTTCAAGGAAACTGGTGATAGACCACAGTTCAAGTACAACACTCGGGAACTGAAGGATGAAACTACAAAGGAGATCTTCACGTAAGCCACAAAGACAAAATGGGAGATATCGAGGAACATCCGTGAAGAAACCTATGTGGAAGAACACTGGAACTCTGTGAAAGAGATGTGGAAAGTAACCTGCATAACCGTATTAGGAAGGAGGAATAAAGAAGATAAGGAATGGATCTTGATGGATACATGGAAGCTGATGAAGCAGAAGATGAACCAGTGCAAGGATGCACAAAGAGAGGAGAAACTGAGTACAATGTATAAAACACTACACTGGACAAGGAAGTGAAGAAGAATGCACACAAAGTCAAGAGACATTTCTACGAAACACTAGCAAGTGAAGCACAACAGGCTGCATATATAGGAGAGACCTGATAACATTGTATCAAATAACCAGGTTACTATTTGGTGTGGAAGAGATCAACACACATGAAACCAATAAAAGATGATGAAGGAAATTCAATAAGCAAAGAAGAAAACTAAGGGAACGATGGGCTGACCACTTTAAATAACTCTTGAATCGACCACCATCTGCACTTCGTCCAGAAATACCACATGCAGTCACAGAAACACAAGTGAACACAAATAACCCCAACAACAGTCAAAGTACTGAGCACCATATAACTACTGAAATGCACGAAAGCAGCACCACCAGATGGAATCACGCCTAAAGCACTAAGAGCAGAAGCAGAGACAACAGTGGACATGCTCACATCACACCACTATTGTAGGAGGTCTGGAAGGAAGGGAAGGTACCTGACGATTGGAAGAAGGGTAATCTTCTCAAAATCTCGAAGAAGCGTGACCCAAGCCTTTGCAAGAAGTGGTGAGGAATCATGGTCCTGTCCACCCAAAGCAAGCAAAGTATTTAGCCACATCATGGTGGAGAGACTAAAGGATGCACTGGATTCAAAACTACAACCGGGACAGGCTGGCTGGCTGGCAGCCAGCCAGCTGGCACGAACCAATGAGGCAAGAACCTATCGCTGAGCAAATATGCAGTGGAAGGAAGTGTAAATGGATTGGATTGGGCACACACTGAGAAGGCCGACTGGGGACACGACGCTTCAGGCTAGTCACTCGAGTGGAATCCAGATGGGAATCGACGAGTTGGGCGTCTGTGGCGAGTGAGACAAGGAGGAGATGGTGAGAGGAGGAAATGAGAGGTTGTGGGCTGTCGTGGAGGCAGGTTGAAAATATTTGAGAGAAGAGAGTGTAATGGAGATGTGCTACTGAATCCTTATTTTCCACTAGGAACCTAAGGGATACATAATAATAATAATAATAATATCTTCTTTTAACAGAAGTGATCACATTCCATCTTTACAAAAAAACCCAACGTTTTCTTATTGTTCAAACCACTCCATTTACCTGTTTCATATTAAGAATTTTTATTACTTTATAGATTATTTGCATGTTAATTTCTGAAATTTATCATCTTTATGACTTACTTATTGTTTACCGTCTCATCTTTCCACCATCTGATGAATATTATGATTGAATTATAAACGTGTAGACATATGTCTAGTGTAGAGTGAAAGATGAAAACTTCATAGAAAGGGAATATATTTCTTCGTTTAACAGATAGATAACATACAATCTAGTAAGAATAATCTATATCAGATAATTTTATGAGACGACTAATGGAGAAAAAAAAAAAAGCTCATCTATAATAGAAGTAGAAATAACTCCAGTGGTTTCGAACTTCTTGATCACTTTATTGTAGTCAAACATCTTAACATTTAGTCATCTGCATCTCCTTATTTACAGCATAATGACTAGCAATTCCAGCATATTCATATATCACGCATTAATTCTTTACATAGTGAATCTTTTCACGTGGGATATATTAATCGTTCATATAACTATTTTTCAATAACCGATGATATTGTGTTTGAATTTCAAGTTTCTCAGTTTCAGTGAAATTCTTTTCAGTCATTTCTTTTTTCAGTTGATGAAAGCTAGGCAAGTAAATTGTTGAATTCTGATATATATGATTGTCTGATTCACGGGAATCTGTTTAATCAGTTTCATATATACTTACTCGAATTTGTATACTCACTTCATTAACACGATGAATTGTATGATTCAACCTGTCCCATGTAACCGTATACAACAGGACATAATATATCTGGTGCTTATTTTCTCTATATTTCAAGCCATCTGATTCATCTATGCTTATACATATAACCGAATTTGCGTTGGATCTTAAACATCAATTGGTACAGCACTGATATATTTCAAAAAATTTTGTTGTACCATGTTAGTGTTCTCTGTTTTCTTCTGGAACTGTGTATAACCGCTGTTCGGTGATCTGTGCTGACATTTATTGTCACTTGTTTGACATTTCAGGGTACTTATACCACTTCATCTGCTCCTATAAGGTTTTCGTACATATTAGGTACAGTTTTATCGGTTCAACGTTGATCTCAACATCTTCCAGGATGACTCATGAAAGGTAAACACATAACAGTGAATAGCTACATATTACAACATTCAGTTGATAGCGAATATACACAACTTCAGAAAATTCATTTTCATCAGTCTACACAGTACAATATAAGCTTCTCAGAAGAGTTTAATTAAACGTTCACTTTTCTTTATATCACTGAACTTGTCGTAGTATAAAACCAATTTCTTACTTTCACTTGGTTATTACACCCTTTTTCTGATTGTCTTGTTTCAGTATCAGCAACTTTATGATCTCACTTTGCTTTATTCTAACCCAATGTCAACAAGTTGGGATCAATTCGCTGTGTAAGGTATAGCTTCTTCGGCTTCTTCTAAAACTTTTTCCCTCATATAATATTCATGCTAGGTAAGGTAGACGCAGTCGAATTCTTATAAGTGACTGTACAAGCGTACAGTTTAATGCAGTTTTTTCTTGTCCTTCCTGAGACGATATACAAGAAGAGAGAACTATGAATGAAGTGGATGCATGCTGATTGTCAGTTAAGATTTCTACGTCTAGTTGGTTGCTACACTTTAAATGTCTATCAACTACAGTGTTAATCAGTTGAGCCAAAGGCACACCACTCACCCTGCTGATGATTTTTAAAACCCTACACAACATAACATAGTCCTTTTTTAGTGTACTATGAAATATCATTGGGGGAACAATAGAGAGGAATAGGTAAAATACAGGAATGAATAAACTTTAAAACTCGGAGTTGAGTTATACCAGACACCTTCAGTTTTCTTTATGTAATACAATAAACAAAAGATTTTTTTAGAAGTCAACAATATCAGAAGTAAAACTCAATCCAAGATAATTAACACTCAATTAACTTTCTGCACAAATACACAAACAATACAACACGCGTCATGAGATTCAAGCAGCTGACACAAATCTTGTTTACGTCTGGCGGGGTCATAAGTGCCCGCTTCCCAAGAGTCCCACTCTACGTGTCATACAAAGTTGTATTTGTCATTGGAATAATCGTGTAACACAGATTAATAAGTGGTTGACATGAGTTACTTCTACTTATGGTCGACATCGCATCCGGAAGTCTTCACCTCAAACAGGAAACCTGTTACAAATCAACTGATTTCCGCTAATTTCATATATGAAGAAGTGGTTAACTTCGAAGTAGATGTTTGTAGAAGCTCTGCCTTCTACATCTAATTCAGCTGTACTTATTCTGAGACGATGAATGAAACATAACTGGACAACCAGTTAGACTATGAAGAGAAACATGCATACCTCTGGTTCAGATGATAACTGTGAAACTTAACCGATTGACTGAAGAGAAATTGACACCCCATCGGTAGACTGATCAGAAGAGATAGTCAGCTTGGTAATCTCTAGGCTGTTGTTGGTGTCGTTGTCGCTTCAAATCCTGACTACCTCATTTCATATTTTCTTGCCACGCCCCCTCCCCACTTAGTCATATTTGTGTTGTCGTGACTTTCACTGTGCCTGAGAAGTACATCTTAGATAATCTCTATAAAAATGTGTTTTTTGATTTATTTTCAGATTGGTGTCAACAATTATTTATTCGCTGTCGACAACAATGGATTTATCTTGTTTCATCCAAATTATCGACCAGTTGTAAGTACTTTTCCCCCTCTGTTTATTATCCTTACAGCCTACTGAACACATGGAAACTAATCGTTGACTCATAACTAACTGATTTCGTAATTTTTCTCACGTAAAACAGTGCCCCTTTTTTTACGGAAATTCATCACTAACAGTAAGTAAAGGTGTATCCATTAGTTGTCTGGATTTACGTTTCTGGTTCAAGAAAACCGTAGATTACGAGTCGAACGTAGTTGCATATGATGGTGAACCTTCTCATCGCCCTGGGTAGATATCAGCCAATATACTGTCAGAGTTGACTAAGTGGTAAACGCTCTTGATGTGATCCATATGCTGAGATCAGTGGAGTGGGCACAGAAGGCGTGGAATTCTGCACAGGGTTCTAGGAACACCACAGTCAGCTTTGTAATTCCCGTAATGTATTCTTTTCTTGTGGAGATACTCAACCTGGAATGCTGGTGTTGTTATCCTTTCTCTTAGCTGTATTTCAGCAAGCTAAAGAGGAACATCCCTGAGAATTTGTCGTCATTCTCCGTTCATTGGGCTGGTATGTAAAACTATCATGTTGTAATAATGAAAAATGAACAGTGACATGCAGTGACAATGTGATAGAAATGTATCATACTACTTACTAATAGCAAGTAGTATAAAAAGAAACACATATATAGAAGGAACTCATTTAAGGTTTTAGGTGTTTCGACAATAAAACGGATTTTGCACTATAACGCACACTGATTACAGCTTAACGAAATAGGGTTTCCCCTTGTTATGCAATAGGGAGATAGGTAACGTTCTTTTCAAATTCATAATTACGGGTATTTTGTAAGATAAATGGTAGTTACCTGGAGTGGGTTGAACCCATAAGATCACTGACTATTGGTATTAGGCTAATGTGCGGATGCATTCATATCACTAGTGATTACAATTAGGCAATCATAATGAACAGTGGTTAGCAGTGGAATCAATGATACGCGTTTCATCGTAATTGGAACGCATCAACTGACCGCCCCTATATGTTAGTCAGTGACGTTGTTCTCAGTTAGTCTCGATTGTGACGACCATCGATTCCAAAGCTGAATGAAGCTTTATGCATTCGTTCTGTTACGGTTATAATGAAACGTGATCGGAGCGATGGGTGGTACATTGGAATTGCACTAGGAACAACTGCATTCACTTACGAGGGAGGGACACTTAGCTGACAAGGCCAGAGTCGGACGAAACATATGTGATGAACCTTACTGCTAACCACCATCTTTCATCACAACCATTTATTAGTAGATGTTGATGCAATAACACTTGTGCATGGAAAGTGTTTGGCTTCATCACAATCATCACATCTATAGAATTCTTCTCTTATGAATCATTCTATTATAGCTTACCTTGCTAGACTGACTCTAAAGTCCATTCTACCAGCTGCTGAAATAACCAATCAGATTTCTTCATTCTTCATGTCAAGGAAGATTTTCACAAGATGAAAAATTCTAACTGGTGATTTCACTTGTTGTTAGGGTAGTCTTTAGACCCATTCAACTTAGGAGATATTCAAATGGACCTCTCTTTAATTTATCAAAAAACTGCTTTTCAAACAAAAATGATGAAACTTGACTGGTTCATTCAGCAGTTGGTAGAATGACCTTCAAAACGGCCTCTTTGGTGTTTCTTTTAAGGCACTTAAGAGAACAAGGAATATTCTTTTTCCCATCAGGTCCTACAGTTATATGTACATATAGAGGAATTACACGTCAGCAATATAGAAATTTCGCTTATCAGGTTGTTAACAATATTTATTATACAGTTGAGGAGATCAAAAGAGAAAAGTCTTCGATGTGAACAATTTCCATGGAATGACTTCTTACTGAGATTCAGTTCAATGTGGGTGTCCGGAATCGCGCCGCGGTAGTTGTAGATTCAACATACGCCTCCTTCGAAATCATTATCACTCTTATTATTCATTAGACGTCCCTTAGGTCCCTAATAGAAAATAAGGATTCAGTAGCACATCTCCATTACACCCTCTTCTCTCAAATATTTTCAACCTGCCTCCACGACACCCCACAACCTCTCATTTCCTCCCCTCACCATCTCCTCCTTGTCTCCCTCGCCACAGACGCCCAACTCGTCGCTTCCCATCTGGGTTCCACTTGAGTGACTGGCCTGACGCGTCGTGTCCCCAGTCAACCTTCTCAGTATATGCCCAATCCATCTACACTTCCTTCCACAGCATATTTTTTGAGTGATAGCTTCTTGCTTCGTTGGTTCGTTGCCAGCCAGCCAGAGCTTCAGTTCCTTCTTACTTATTCTTATTATTCTGGCAATCCATCTGAGCTGATCTTCAGTAACGAGCCAGTGTAGGCAGCAGTTGTTGATGAATGTTTGTAGTTTGTTGGGAATGCCTTTCGTAACGCACCAAGTCTCTGAGCCATGCACAAGCACTGACTTGAGTGGATTGGTGTTGAAAATCTGGATTTTGTTCCACATGCTTAGTGCAGTGCAGTAGATATCCACACTGGTTTCAGGCTAATCAACTCCTGTCTTGCTATCTTCCCGATACTGGCTGGCTGTGACGTTGTCGTCTGTGTCTGTGCCGCCACCTGCAGTTGACACTGTGCTGCCTAGATAGGTGTAGGTGAAGGAGGATACTTCCTTTAAGTTTCTCCTCTTGATGATGATTGGAGCTTGTTGTTGTTGTCGTCAGTATTGGTTGGGTATCTTCATCACCTCCGTCTACTCTACGTTCACTTGAAGTTCCGTCTTCGCTGCCTCACCTCACCTCTCCTGTCAACTTGTTAGTTTTAGCCTGTACATCTTCAAGTGTGTGCGACAAGACATCAGACACAAGTCATCATCGTTGGCGAAATCCAAATCTTCTAGGTTGTTTTCCCCAGTACAGCCAGCGTATCCCTCACCCCATCTTCTCACAGCTCTTCACTGTTTCTTGCATCATCCAATCCAGTCGACCACAACACAATTTGGAATATCATGGATGATAGTAGGCAACCTTGTCTTTTCTTACTCCTGTCTTCACTTCACTTCACTTCGAAGACAGCACTGAGCTTCTCATTGTGAATTAAATTACTTTGCATATGGCGCCTTCATATAGCTGCTGTTGAATGAGATTGATAAAGGTTTGTGGCACTAAAACAGTAGTGTTGAAGCAAGTGCCTGCCGAGTTACTTGTCGGTTGACGCTGTTGAAGGAAGGCGTTTTCAGAGTCGATGAAGTTGAGGTAGAGATAGACAGACAGACAGAGAGGGAGGGAGAGAGAGAGAGTTGAGTGCCATTCCATACTCTGTTCTCTGATGATGCACAGCGTGGCGTTGGAATTTGGTCCACACATGATTTGTACTTCCTGAATCCATCCATCCATCCATCCATCCATCCATCCATCCATCCAGCCAGCCAGCCAGCCAGCCAGCCTGTCCCGGTTGCAGTTTTGAATCCAGTGCATCCTTTAGTCTCTCCACCATGATGTGACTTAATATTTTGCTTGCCTTGGGTGGACAGGACCATGATTCCTCACCACTACTTGCAAAGGCTTGGGTCACGCTTCTTCGAGATTTTGAGAAGATTACCCTTCTTCCAATCGTCAGGTGCCTTCCCTTCCTTCCAGACCTCCTGCAAGAGTGGTGTGATGTGAGCATGTCCACTGTTGTCTCTGCTTCTGCTCTTAGTGCTTTAGGCGTGATTCCATCTGGTGGTGCTGCTTTCGTGGATTTCAGTAGTTATATGGTGCTCAGTACTATGACTTTTGTTGGGGTTATTTGTGTTCACTTGTGTTTCTGTGACTGCATGTGGTATTTCTGGACGAAGTGCAGTGGTGGCCTTTGAAGGCATAATTCATGTTGTTTGTTCCTGATTGATTCTGTTTCTGCAGTTTAATGGATCCTTAACGGGGAACCTTTTGCAAGTTGATAGGAATGCGTTACAGAATAGAAAATGACTCACTCAAAGCATTATGAATGTTGGATGTTGCTCTGTTAGTCTCTTCAGAGATTTAATATATTCCGTTTCTGTTGTATCATCCAAGTCTTTATAAAGGCCAAATTTCCGTAATACCATCTTACCATACAGTATTTCATTCATCTTTTAAGAAGAACTACTCTTATTCCATTTATCAGAAATGGTAAAGAATAATTTTTCATTGGAAATAAGTTTTTTCTCAGCGCCTCTGTGTCTTTTATTGACTTTAAAGGCCACTCTAGCAACACACTGAAGTAACCAATCAGATGCCTCTATTTACTGGTCGCAATTTAATTTCCGTCATCATCTTTTATTGGTTTCGTCTGCTTTGATCGCTTCCCAGATAGCAACCTGGTTATTTGATACAATGTTGTCAGGTCTCTCTTACCTGCAGCCTGTTCTGCTTCATTTGCCAGTGTTTTGTAGAAAGATCATGCAACAAACTGTGAGGAACAGCGAGGAGATGAGCATACGCTGTTTGACCGACGGAAGGACCCTAGAAGATTTGGATTTCCCCAACCACGGTGATTTATGTCTTATGTCTTATGTCACACAAACTCGAATATCTATAGGAAAAATCAATAAGTTGACAGAAGACACAGGGCAGCGAAGACGGCACTTCCTTCAGGTGAAATTATAGAAGATAGAGGGGATGAAGAAACCCAACGAACAGAAACAGTAACAAGAAGAAGAAGAAGCGTCAATCACCATCAACAGGAGAAATCTAAGTGAAGTTGTCTCTTTCACCTACCTTCCTAAGAGGCAGCATCGTCTCAAATACAGGCGACACAGGCACAGATGACGATGTCAAAGCCAGCGAGGATCAGAAAGACAACAAAACAGGCCTTCCTGAATTAATATCAAATCAGTGTGGAGATCTATTGCACTACACTACACTACACTGCACTGCACTGAACTACACTGCACTCAGCATAAAGCGTGAACAAGGTCCAGATTTTCAACACTAAGTCAGTCAAGTAAGTCAGTGCTTGCTTCCACGTGATGGATGTTTGAGAGACGTGGTGCACTTCAAAAAGCATTTCCAACTGACTGCAGATATAAGTGATCAACAGCTGCCGCCTACGCTCACTCCATACTGAAGATCAGATCTGAAGGCGAGAAGGAATAATGAAGGAGAAACTCTGACTGGCAACGAGCCAACCAACCAAGGAGCTGTCGCTCAACAACTATGCTGCAGGAAGTGAAGATGGATTGGATTGAACATACACTGAGAAGATGGTTTAGGGACATTAGGCGTGAGGTGAGGTCGTCGAGTGGAAGCCAAACGGGAAACGCTGAGTTGGATGTGGGAGGTGATGATGACATGGAGGAGATGGCGTGAAGAAGAAATGAAAGTTTGTGGCAGTGGTGCAGCCATGTTGAAAGGACTGGAGAGAAGAGAGTGAAGTGGTGACGTGCTGTTTCAGTAGGAACCCTAGGGTTACGTAATAATAATAACTAACATAACTGATCGATTCCAAGTATTATTCTGCTTGTGACCATTCTTACAACTAACTGATCTTATCAGCAGTACAATGGAGTAGGTGAAGGAAAGCTTCAAATTTAACTGAGTAGTGTATACTTAAGAGATTCATAGAGATTATTTTCAAAGACACTGCGTGTACACGTCTTCTAACAGTATTGTTTGGTAACCATTTTTACAATGTATATGACCACCTGTTGGCTATTTTTCCACTCTGTTTCATTGGAATTAAATCATCGGTTAACTGTTGTAAAGTGTCTTCATAATTTTTGTAGCCGCCCGAATAGCTGACTGCTGTATGTTGCTTGTCATTTATTTTCTGTGACTTTCTCTTGTTCTCGTATTATTCAACTGTATAAGAGTAACCTACATGAATCTAATCTCGAGGGTATTGAAATTCTGCTATTTAAAGGCCTGTCAACAACTTATCTTGATTGATTTTGAATCTCATGCCAACAACCATAATGATGACTAATCATGTTGTTGTATTGTATGAAAAAATACCAATGGAGTTGAAATGTGATTACCTGATTCATTTCTTCAGTAGTTAGTAGGGTAACACCTTTGAAGTAACTCTATTCATAGACGTAATTAGCACATAGGCAATTATACTGATATCCAGATACTGAGTTGTGTTAAAAGTGATAATCACGTGACATTTCTACTTTCAAGTTACACACATCAATCACGTGAAGAACATATCTGAAGTTAACTAACTATCAATTACTTACTGTTGTACCTAATATGTAAATGTGAAACAAAAGAGGTCTACCATCCTAGATCGTTTCTTAATTGATCTTGAAATAACCATGCAGAGCGAAGGTAAAGGAAGGCATTGTGTTCTTAGTATGCTTTGAATTCGAAAGGCAGTGACTTTATAAGCCATCCTAACAACCACTGAAATAATCGAGGTATGCCGAACCTGTTTTTTGACTACACGTTACTTGTTATCGTATTGTTGCTTTCAGGGTCACTTACTAGTCGCTCCAAGACACTAGCTACTTGCAGTAAACTTATGAAATTTCAATAATGTTGAGGTCAGCTTTCATTCTCACTTTTTAAGACGATAACCCGAATTGTTGTACAAAGATTGATTCTTGATCAGTTAGTTGGAAGCTTTTTGACTGAAATACACTGAAAGCGTAACCACTGTGAAAGGTTTGATGAAGTGGATATCTAAGATATTGTATAATGTTCGGCTTTCACTCAGCGTTCCGAGGTAATAACTGGCTTTAAAACACTTCCGTCTGTTAACATTGTACTAAGGGACGCTGGGGTTGAAATCGTATCTATCTAAGCCTAGTAAATCTGTTGAATTGTGTACAAAACATGACGTCTATCTAATCCCATTTGTCACTGTTTGTTCATATCACCAACTCCCATAGCTGCACCTTGAATTCACCATCACTGACTGACTGAAAACAATGATTTCCTTATCTAAGAACATAACCTCTACACTGACACAATTCAAGCTAATATCTTAACTGTCTTTGAGCCGAATGTTCATTAATAGCCACACATATTCATCGCATTGATTAAAGATGTGATCTTTGCTTTATTTCTTTATTCTCAGATGTCATTTGATCAGCTTCTCTTCATTTACTTTACAGTATAAAGCTCTTTTGAAACGTTACTATCAAAATGTGGATATTAATGAAGTTGAAGTTGTGAAGAATGTTAAAATCGATCCCGTAAGTTTAGGCTTTTCTTGTTCTTTTTACAGTGCGTTATCTCTTCCATAAAGAAGTCTAAAACATCTCTTTGCCCCCAGGTCTCATATTCATACCACACACTAAGACATTTACAACAGGCCACTCACAAAGTCATGAACCGAGTCCTGTCCGTACAAAATAATTTATGGAATATGCATAAATCAGTCCACCTAGTGAAGTTTATCGATACAATATTGTTGACATTATATTATTTGCATACCTAAGGGGAAAAGTTCAGGTCAACTTGTTATTAAGAGTAAAAACTATTCATCAACTGATGTAATACTTTATGAAATTCTGAGTTTCTGCCATCTCATAAGCTATTGTTCATTATTTCCACATGAGATTGATAGAATAGTAAAATAATCTGTGCAAAAGAATGTAGATTTTTACTTACGTAAGGCAAAAATAACAAACATATCTGACTCACCAGCTGGAGAATAACTTTTGAAGGCCACTCCAATAACAATTGAAATGACCAATTACGTTTCACCATTTTCCGGCCAACTAACTGCTGCTTTCTACATAATACAAAATTCTGATTGGTTACTTCACTAGTAGTTGTCAGTGTGACCATCACACGCAATCATCACCTGAGATGGTCGGCCTTGACACAATTCTAAATTTGATTGGGCAGTTGTCAGACTACCTAGTCACCATTGACAACAACCACTCATCCACCTGTATTCATCTTTCCAGTTCGATAAAATATAAGTAGGGCACAACACTATTTACACATTGCTTGTTTAGACAACAAAATATCCTTACTGAAATACGAATTGTTTTCACACAACAATTATAAATTGTGGCAATCTGGACCGTCTAGTTGTTACTGATAGAAAGGGTTTTCTCCTTTCTATTACTGCTTCCCGTTAAACACAACAATCCCTTAGTGGATTATCTCAAGCATTTTCTATGAGGACAGTTTATCCAACTTCTCTTCAGGGGATTTCACCTTCCCTTGTATACAGTTTATTTAGTTGACATCTACACGATTACGACTCAGCCGATAACGATTGAACCACACTAACAATTGTAGTCCCATTCAGAATAGGTTAAGAGATGACTGACTCATCATCCCAATCAAACAACTATACAATCATAATCAATCCAATTGTATTGTCTTCTAAAAGCCTATCTTTCCATCAAGATGATCAGTCATGTCTAATCTAACCAATCTAATACAAGGTGGGACACATCAATTGAGTAGTGAAATCAGTTAGGACACGTTTTCAATTTACTCCAGACATCATTCACAAAGAAAATATTCATATAGGAAATGATGATATGTGTCTACAGAAATAACAACATGATTCTGTGTGTCAGTAGTGCTTAACATTATTGTTAATGTCTATTCTGTTGGAAGATTTTCTCTTTTCAAAGTATCCCTAATTGGTTATTCAACGTCTCTTGTCTATTTACTGACCTTAGAGTGTTTTTTGTTTCACTTCCATCATCTTGGTGTATTTCAAGACAGTCGATGTAACTGACATGTTTAGCCTAATATATATTTGTAAATGAATCCCAACATAGATGACTAGATAAATATTAGTGGATTATTTTGAGGTGAATGAAGATTGTATTTTATAGTTGTTTAGTTTGAGTATTGAACTTGTCAGTGGTATACACCGAGTGAATCACCAGAGGTCGAATTGAAGACATATTAAGCACTCAGTTATTGAGTTGGAGTTGAATAGTCTACAGTTTCTCACTTTTATTGATTCATAATATAGCATGACTCTCTATGAAGTTCAAAGATTCTTATGTGGTTCATCTGTGAATGGTTGACCTTCCAGTTGAAGATTTTTCATTAGAACTTCTGCATATCTATCTATCTCAAGGCATATCATAAATGAACACTGAAAATGATTGAATTGATGATCGATAAGGATTGTAATACAGTTTAGTGTTTTTTCTTGCAAATTTAGTAAGGGATAAGAAGGAAAAAGTAGTGAAATGGAAAACTTACTTGAGGTTGTTTTATACGGAAATGTGCTTCATAGAGTGACAGCGTCATCGAAGTTCATGATTAAACATCCATTAGAAAGAAGAATAAACCTCAGAGAATGTTGAAGCATCATCATTGTCATCTTAATCATCATATCTCTCTTATTACTTTGTAACTGAGAAATATCCTGAGTACATAATTGAATTTCTAGCCTAAATTTATTCATTTACTATTGGTTTTATTCGTTTTATTTCCAGTGGACTGGAACACCGGATTATAATACTTCTGTAAGTATGAAAATTGTTTGTCCTATGCCTTTTTTGTTATTCTGTAAATGAAAGTAAGAAAGTTGTTCCAAGATTTTTATGACATGTTGCTATTCGTCTACAAAAACTCATATGAGCCACAACACACATCCTGATATGTTAAAACAGTCAGCCTAATGAACCCATCAAAGGGGCGAGGATACCAGGTTGAATCTAAATCACTACATAAAACAGTATATATCTCACTAATAAATGACCTTGAATAAACAGACATCTATATTGTAAACCATTAGAATCACAAAATAGTTTATAGAAAATACTCACTTCTGATTGGTTTACTATTACAAGAAATACATGATTGGTAGAACAGAGTACATGAAACATAGTCACTGTTCTCCTTCAACATCATTATCATACTTCAATTAGCTACAAAAATGTATGCAGTCAAAGAATGACCATTCGACAAAAATACATCATCTTATGTACAATAGTTTTTATGAATATATGAAATCAGTGAGTCAATAGTAGTTGAATAGTTTATTTTGATTGGTTGGCTCTGGTATAAAAGTAACCAATGAACTTTTTCTTGACCATACAGCAACATGAAACTAAAATTGAAATATGAAAACTTTTGGCTTAATGGCTGATGACTTTTACTAGTGAGTTCCGTTTAAACAGCTTCTGATCAGGTTACCATCTATTCAGTAGAATATTTAAAAGGCAGTAGGTTACTTATTTTACCTTGAATCAACCAAAAAAGTTCAGTCTATCAGTGTTATTCAGTTATACGGTTGTTACACAGTTGTGAGACATGGCCAATCAATGTAAAACATATAAAGCTGCTACAGGATTTTGACTACAGATGTCTTCGTAGCACTACCATATGAGCAAGGTATATGTCAGGTGTACGATACTAAGAAAAGTATACTAGTCGGTCTATGAGGGTGTTGACTAAGTTGGCTTAGATATGTACTGTGATATGCATACCTAGCAAGGACCTACCTCATCATATCGTGTTACGGAGAGATGGATTAGGTCGGGAGAAGGTTTACAGTAGCCAGACCAAGACGTTTTACTAATTGATGAAGTCTCTTACTAGAGTCCCCAAAACGAAAAAGAATCTGTGGTTGAAGACTCTTGTTGAAATGGTTGAAAATCAATGATAGGGGTGCAGATATATTCGTTCACTCTTTTATGTCTTCTACAGCTCAAACATTTTCACCAAGATTCACCTTTAAATCATTTATTGTCTCGTACATCATCTGCCTGTACTTTGTTTGTGATTTAAGCTGAAGCCCTTTTATTGGAGATTTTGATGTCTCCCGTTATAATCTACTTGATTAAGTGTGTAAATCTAATTTACTGTGCATAGAAAGCAGGCGCAAACACAAATCCTATCGATGTACCTGCGTCTGCAGTTGATAATTTCTAAAGTAGAAGGAAATGTATATCTACAGACTTATACATGGCATCATGTATCACTTCAAGCGTTATAAACTCAACTGTGATGGTACAAATGATGGAAGGAAAGTGCACATTGGAATTGTATATCAGGCATTCTGTGCTTAAAAACTCTTTTTGAACATAAGTTGAATGCTAAGTATGGCTGGAATATTCATTTGTTTGACTAGAAGAAAAGCTTCAGTTGAATAGACTATAAATCCTCATTGATTCAGATGCCTAGGATAATGTGTTACACATACATGTCTAGTCAATACTTACCTTGTCATATAATGTTGACTGAAGTAGCAGCTTGTAGGCTGGAAAATTGTAAGCAGTGACCTGTCTAAAGTAAGCCATCAATTCATGACTTTTCAGAATGTTGGTCTGATGTGTGTAAGGAAATGGGAATTTCCTCACGACAACCAAAATTGATGGTTGAAGGCTGTGCTTAATATGACCCAGAATTAATCTTCAAGCCTTCCACCTTGAGGTAGTGATATGACATGTGGTAAAAAGGCTGTCAGGCACCAATGCGTAACTAACTGACCGATGACATTTATTCCCTTCGGTGAACTTCAACAAAAGTGATCAGTACAACTGTTGGAAAAACATTGGAAACCTGTGAGAACTGGATAGCCAGCTGTTTGTCGTAGTATAGGACTCCTCAGTAGTATGCACTCTCGCCATCAGAGATCAAACCCACGACCTTCAGGTTGTATGGCGAGCAGGTTACCATTGAGCTACTGCCTCAATCCCGCAGGAATTTCATTAGCATCATACAGTCTGACCGAATAAATAAATAGTGACTGTAGGAAATTCTGGCAAATTCTATGCGAAAAGTCTTTTCATGCTCGTTTAAATGAGAAGAATACCACTTTCAATTCACAATACAAAAAAACTTCCAACAATGAAATACAGTCAAACTAGGGACCATGCTAAGCAAGTGAGTCAGTGAGAATGATCAGAGGGAGATATCGCATTACTGAGCTTAATGTCAATCAGCACATAATTAGGAGTCAACGTGAAAGATAGATAAATTAGGAAGAAATTAATTGAAGGCGGTAGATAATCCTGAAACGAGAACAGAAGAAATGTAAAAATAATGATGGAGATAGCATGTGGATGCAGCTACGCCACAGAAATCCATTCTGTACCATATCACCTAGAGTTTCCTACAACCAATTTCGATTGTTATACGGACTTCAACCGGGAATTTTTCATTTTCCTGTGTCGATGAGACCAACAGCCAGAGAAGTCCCGGACTGATGTCACAATTTGTTCTAGTCACCTCTTACTGTATTCTAGCCTGAACCTACTTAGTCTAACATTTGGCGACGGGACAGACGATGACTAGGTATGTGTGATACATGTAGCATCCATCTAAGTCGATTAAAATTTCCAACCTTATCAACTGATGCCCCTGTTCTACCTGAAACTCCACGCCTAACGTCTGAATTACTGATGCGGTAGTTACACAACACATGGTCTCTGCTTCGAAGGCAACGGTGGTTGGATGTGTTGAGCCTTCCTATATCCTCCAGCGTTGAAAATTATGTTTCCCAGTCAAACAACAAAACAAGGTGAACTGCAGCACAGAACACTCTCCCTTCAATAGGCAATCGGATATCGACCGTTTCACTCCCTATTGTCAGATAGAGCTCTAATTCAGATCAATCTTGGAGCAACAGCTTACATTTGGGTAAGGAGAAACTCATCTATAACATTCTCAAATTGTTCGTTAAACTCCACATCCTCTCACAGTCTTCATCCAACACGACTGTGTCGTCTTCTCACTCTAGATTTACTGCAGCTGAGGCACGAAGTTAATATCTGTAAAGTAAGACAAGTCGAGGTACAATGTCCATAAGTACCGCTATGGAAAAGTCAAATAGGACCGGAGAGAGTGGTCACTGTTTGAAGTACATAACATACATGATGCCTCGTAAGATCTAACAGAACTATGGGTGTTCAAGTACAGAGCTTACAACAGGATTATATACTTATTTGGAATCCGTCGTAATGTAAAGACCTGAATGCCACCTTTATGTCAAGTACTTCAGCCAGAGTCGGACATCTGTAGGTACATGTGGAGAGAGAATAACTGGTCGAAACACTGACGGTCAAGTCTGAAGCCTACCTGGTTTTCTCGAGTTCTACCACTGAACATATACATCTAGTGATTATGGAACCTAGAATCTGAGACACTATGTTCCTCAGACTGATTCCCTTGTGGCTATTATATGAGGATCTCTCACATTTCTTAAAAGCCGCAACAATCAGTGACTGAAATTAGTTGGAAGGGATAATACCCAGTTCCCATATGCCAAGTAACATTTAAGTTTATTCAACCAATCATCCTTAAACATCTATCCTACTAGCCCATTTGACCTTGATGCGGTTTCTCGTCTCAGGTTACTTAAAGTTTTCTCAATTTCTGCAATTGTTAGAGGTGCTATCAAGATGTCCCATCCAGGCTCCAAATGGATATCGAGCAATAGAATACTATCTGGAGACCATTTTAACTGTTACTTGGAGTGTTCCACTTATTGTTCCTATCATCTCCTCTACAACAGAAATACAGACCTATTCTTCTTCGTTATAACTTTCATAAACAACTAACATGTTTGTCGCAATTTCCTCCAGTTACTTCCACAACTCATTTTACTTTCAAGCCAGCAGGAAACCGTTCATATACATTCATTAATTCAGAAAAAGCTCGTGAATTCCGCTAACACCTTTTAACCTTTTTCTAGGAGTTGTTTATAGGCTGGAAAGCTGTTTCATCCTAGTAAAAGACTCCTCAGCAGTATACACTAATTAGCGTAACACTAAGCAAGTAATCATCCCTCTCAACAACACAAAAGTGTATAGGTTCAATTTGCCACATTTCGTAGTAGTATACGAAGTACAGGTGGATACATTATGAGTGATAGATCAGAGTACATGAAGTTCGGTGTGATTGAATAAATAATAAGATGGAGCTTAATGCGAATATATACGCTTTAGAAGATATTTCAAGGAGTGAAAAGAACAGAGCATATATCATGGATTCATCTTAAGTCGCTTCAAAAAGCGCTCTCAAATAATGAATGACCTAGTCAGGAGGAACTCAGCCAATACCGTATCTAAAAAAAACACATGGGTCATCATGACCTTCATGAATTTCATCGACTGGCGCCACGCCTTCGTCTGGCTACCCTGACCTCTCTTCAAATATAATCCATTGCATATTCAGGCGGGTGGTGGCTAGGTATGTATGCACAGTACATGTCCAAGACATGTCGATGACGGTTCACAGACACATAAGTCAACTTACCTGTCTTGCTTAGTATCCTTCGCTTCAGATCAACACACCTCACAGAGTGAATCAACAACTATACACACACAGGAAGCTTTGAAATCACGGTGTTTAGTTGTTACAATTTAACCTGTTCCTATGACAGCTGATTTCCAGCTATCTAGCGAGTTAGCTAGCTGGCGTGCTGTCTAGCTCGAATATATTATTAATTGGTTGGTTGGTTGACTGTTTTTCTCGCTTGGATTAGTGGTTGAGTGTGAGGTGGAAGCATTGACTTGTG